CATGTGTTGATGTTCCGGTTCTTACTTAGTCAATCTTTCCTTCATTTGCATGTGTAACACTAGTTCACTTCTTCCTTTTGTCAACTTCAAGCATGTGTTGATGTTCCGGTTCTTACTTAGTCAATCTTTCCTTCATGTGTATGTGTTCCACAACTTCACTTCTTCCTTTTGTCGAGTTCAAACATGTGTTGATGTTCCGGTTCTTACTTGTCAATCTTTCCTTCATGTGCATGTGTTCCACAAGTTCACTTCTTCCTTTTGTCGAGTTCAAACATGTGTTGATGTTTCGTATTTTACTTAGTCAATCTTTCCTTCATGTGCATGTGTTCCATTAGTTCACTTCTTCCGTTTGTCAAGTTCAATCATGTATGGATGTTCCGGTTCTTACTTAGTCAATCTTTCCTTCATGTGCATGTGTACCACTGGTTCACTACTTCTTTTTGTCAAGTTCAAGCATGTGTTGATGTTCCGGTTCTTACTTGGTCAATCTCTCCTTCATGTGCATGTATTCCGTTTGTTCACTTCTCCGTTTGTCGAGTTCAAACATGTGTTGATGTTCCGGTTCTTACTTAGTCAATCTTTCCTTCATGTGCATGTGTTCGACTAGTTCGCTTCTTCCTTTTGTCAAGTGCAATCATGTGTTGATGTTCCGGTTCTTACTTGGCCAACCTCTCCTACATATGCATATGTTCAACTAGTTCACGTCTTCCTTTTATCAAGTTCAAGCATGTGTTGATGTTCCGGTTCTCACTTAGTTAACCTTCCCCTCATGTGCATGTGTTTTATTAGTTCACTTCTTCCGATTGTCAAGTTCAATCATGTGTTGATGTTCCGGTTCTTACTTGGTCAAATCTCTCCTTCATGTCCATGTGTTCCATTAGTCCACTTCTTCCTTTTGTCGAGTTCAAACATGTGTTGATGTTTCGGTTCTTACTTGATCAATCTCTCCTTCATGTGCATGTGTTCCATTAGTTCATTTCTTCCGATTCTCAAGTTCAATCATGTGTTGATATTCCGGTTCTTGCTTGGTCAACCTCTCCTTCATATGCATGTGTTCCACTAATTCACTTTTACACTTTTGTCAAGTTCAAGCCTGAGTGGATGTTCTGGTTCTTACTTTAGTTGCTCTTTCTCAAAGGAATGGGTGACCGACATTGGGCTGCTATTATGGGGTGATGACTTGATTAGGACTAGGATACTCTTTCCTTCTCTCTCTTTCCCTCTCTCTTTCTATCTCTCATTCCTTCTCTCGCTCTCCCCCTTTCCCTTTTCCTTCTCTCTTCCTCCCCCTCTTTCTCCCTCTCTCCTCTTCCCCCTTGCCTTTTCTCTCTCCCTCTCTCTTCCCCTCTCTCTCCCTCGCATCATCATCTGACCCCCAACGGGGGACATTGTATGGATCTTCTTGCTTGTGTGGGATTGTGCAGGTGAGTAATGGCTAGAAATGCCTTGAGCGGGATAAGGGCGAGAGGAACTGGGCACCAAGAGGGAAAGGGAAGAGGGACAAAAGGGCTATGGGACCCTTAACATAGAGCCAATTCGTGAAAATGACTTTTGCACTTGAGACTTGGAAGTGTGATTGAGAGTGCAATCGTACCAGGGAAAATGTGATGTTGTATGTGCATGCATATGAGGACCGATGGATGCAAATTGTGAGATCCGATGGATGCGTAGAGGCGAGGGGAAGGGCGGCCCCGCCGCACCCCGATGACGCCATATAGCCAAAATGCCTAGGGAAATGGTGTGTGGCCTAAAGATGACGCTTAGCCTACGCACAAGAGAAGAGAAAGGCTCAAAGAACCCCTGGACTGCCTGCGTATTGGAAGGAGCAATTGCTTGAGAACACTATAAAGAATAAAAAAAAATCAGCGTTGCGGAGCGACCAACGAGACTACCACCCGGCGTGAGGGCTGAGCTACATCCCCAATGTCAAAGCTCTCTCGCGCGATGGCCCACTCCCATCCATCTTAAAGCACTAGGTGGGGGTGACCTTTGAACGAATGGCCCGCACCCTGAGCATGAGTGTGGGCACGCCGAGCCAACTGGGACCCGCAGTAGGGTCGATTAAGGCTCGAAAGTCTACCGGGGTTTGGCCCTACAAAAATGGTGGAGGTGACGGGCATGGGGTTAAATTGACCCTTGCGATTCCGATGGGGGCGCCCGACGCATTGACGTGTACACAACCCAAGATAAGGAAAATAAACTTGTGTTTGTTTTTTCCCTTGTGAGAAATCAGATTTGAGGGTGGCTGGGCGCATGGCATGGCCAGGCCTGGAGTTATAACATGTATGTTATGCACTTGATCAGCCATTTCCTTGTGGAATGGTTCTAGCCCTCCCTCGTCCGGTGCTGGTGTTCGCCAGTCCGGGGAAGCCTTGGGCAAGTCGCAGGTTGACCCTTCCTCTTCGTATGAAAGAAGGGCTCTGGTTACCTGACAGGCGGTTGGTGTTTGGCCTAGGCACTCTAATGAAAATCCCGCGGCGGAGTGATCCGACCGGACGGGTGCCCTTCTATCTCCTTCTTTGAGCCCAGTGGGCTCATGCACTTTGCACCTTTTTTTTGAAATGCTTGAAGGAACCAATATGAACACAACGGATTATCAAGAAGGAACAATCCTACCCTATGAAAGGATAAACAAATGAAGAGAAGGAAAATGAAGGGAGTTGCTAGACTCCAAGGAAAACTAGCTCACCCTTGAAGATTCCCACGAGAAGGAACCAACCACTATGTATGAAAGTAGGGGGAGTTGCACTCATTGTCCTGAGAGAAAATTTGTGAGTTATGGGTAGGAAGCGCTGGGTGCACCAAGGGAATGGCACTTGTACTATATGTGTCCCGCTTGGGACTTGTATTTGCAAGATGGGATTCGAGCGTCCTGCCTTTCGGAAGGAAAGGATTGGTCTGCACCGGCCAGTGCGGGTTGCCAAACATTGTTCTCCTTGCAGGCTGCCATTTGTTCGTATGCGGGGGTCAGGCCACCAAGCTGTCTAACGGGAGTTTGTCACGTCGAGTGCTTATTAGCATCCTCATCCGCGCGGTGATGGGTTTCGGCTCGATTGATCTGCCGGGTGGGGTGTGAAACGTTCCTCAGGCAGGGCCTAGCCTGTGGACTGGCGGAGGGAGCACCGCTGCATGGGGGCAAAGACGGAGCTTGGGAGGCGATGAGTAGCTTCTCGTAGCATGGTTTTGGGAAAGGTTGATTCTTGTCGGACCGATGGAAGTGAATGCCCGGACGACTGACTTTGTCCCTGTATTTAGGCACTCGAGGTAACCCTCGGTGTTGGTATGGATGTGCAAAGCGGCAAGAAGGGATGGGGTATTCTGGGTAAGGAGGAAAGAGCGAAAGCCTTGCTGAGACCTGGGTACCGCACTCGCGGCGGTTGAGCTATGCTTGAAGTATGGAATAAAACCCTACCGATAGTACCGGCGGAGATACCATATTGGGATGGTCGGTGAGGAGATGACCGGCCCGTATGTGAGATTGCCTGATTTTTTTATGTACCCTCCCCCGTAAAGATTGATTGAGCTTGGATTGTTGGACGGGTATTCTTCTAACTCTATTCCCCCTCCCTTCTAAGTCCACACGAGCGAGAGATGATCGGAAGGAAGAAGGATATATGTCAATTGGAATGGAACCAAGAGAAAGAATGTGGACAAATGGGTGGCCGACCGAGGGAATTATGGGAAAAGAGGTACTTAGGGATGGGAAGGTAAATTAGGGAGACCTTAATGGGGGGTCTGAAATAATCCTCATTTAAGAAAAGGGGTTGCCCTGACCAGAAGAACCGGTTGGTACTCTTTCATGAAAAACAGGGGCCGGGTGTTGGAAACAAGATGGCGCGATGGTTGTCTCCCCCGACTTATACCAGCGCCCCAGAGATGCCAGTAGACGTAAAGGATGGGGTGTCGGTCGTCCTCCCGGAAGATGGGGCGTGGACGGACCTTGAACCAGCATATCAAACCGTGATGCTCGATGGGAAAGACGCGTTCCTATGGATAGAGACGGTATGGGCTAATGTTAGCTTGACAAGGTTATCACCAAGTTTAATGGATTTGGAGTTCCGGGGAACAATGGAAGCTCAGGGGTGGGTCTACTTGTCGCAAGATGGGGAAAATGCTATGGTCATAGAATTGACACTCGGGAATACGCCGGACGAATTGTTTAAGAAGGCGGAAGCGGAGGTCGTATGGGCTGCGTGTCAGCGAAGGGAGATGGAAATGAAGAGGGTAGATGTGCGGGTGGAACTTGGGGATAGAGGAAGCATGAGGCGACCCGTAAGAACCATGCGATGTGTGTGGCCTCCCTTCCTAGTGGATGCGATTTTCGAAACTCGGAGCAGGCTAGTACGGATATGCCAGTCCATGACGAACCTCGGGCTGTACCAATGCGCTAGGCAGGATTTCTTTCGGTTGTCAGTAGAAATGGGGCCGTTTGAGGGGAACTGGGCGGACGAACTGGCCGAGATACTAAGTTGTCTTAGCTTAGACAATATCTATGTCTCTAGCCCTGTACATTGGGGGATAGTGTATAGAAATGTGGCAATAGGGGAGACATTCCTGGAGGGGGTGAAAGAGTTGTTCTACGACGGAGAGGACGATTTCGGTGATGAGGACGAGGATGAGGAGATAGAGGATTGAGACTTCTGAGAGGAGTGGGGAAACTTAACTTAGGGAGGACGGGTGGCCTGGTATTGTGCATGAAAGGGGAAGATGATTAGAGAAGAAAGGATAATGGAATACCCCTTCAAAGGCTGGGAACCACGGCGACTCAGAGGAGGAATAGAAATGCCTATACCAACAGGGAACGGATGGAGAGGGACCACGTGCGATTGGATTGGGTTTGAGGTCGTCCGGGACTTGTCATATGTATGGATAAAGCGGATTTGGAATCCGATAAGGGAAGAGGAAGGATGGGATGATATAGCAGAAGGCAAGGTAGAGTCAGTTGGAACGATTGTCCTTTCCGAGGATGGATGGCACCTATTTTGCACCATGTTAGCAATGGGACAGGACCCGATGTGGCTTCTAGGGGATGCAGAGGCCCGAACCCGAAAGGAAGGCAAGTTGTTCGCCAACGAGGGATGGGACGAAGTTAGTAGCAAAGTTGTGATGGGAGGATGGAAAGAACTCACGCCTCCTTGCCTGCGCATAACAACTTGGGTACCCGAGTTCGTGGCCGACTGGTTCGGGGGTTTTGAGCACATAGCAGACGTAGCCGACTCCATGAGGAAAGTACACATAGAATGTGCCTGGCTGACCGAGGAGTTCTATAGGTTCTCCTTAAAGTATGGGCCCTTCTACGGGGATAAGGCCGGTGAGGTCATCACCATCCTGAGCTTGGGACGCCATGGTTAGCCGGGAGGCGGCGGCCGCGCCATCCTAGGTGGACGATGTCTTTTTGCTGTTTGAGGTGCGGTGGTTTGATTAGAAGGGTTCAAAGTTCGAGCGCCACGGGAAGGACGGAGTATGGAGGATGCATGTGAATTAGGATGTAACATAAGGAAGGAGCATGTACATTAATCAGCAAAGGACGCGAGGAGGCCAAAGTAAAGGCAGGCATGGAAACGGGATAGCAACAAGAACCAGTGTACGATAAGTAGGGCGGGGGGTTGAAAGACTAAAACACGAAAGGCGTCGAATCTCGGTGGGTGCAGCAAACAGACTAAGAAAGCGGGGAAGGAGACATTGCGAGATGACATGGCGAATGACGTTCTGGGAGGATAGACCTCATGGGATCCTGCCACCAAGAATATCAGAAGGCAGGGTCGAAATAAGCCTGCCGGCAAGAAGTATGGTAGGCAATCCGATAATGGACTAGGTGGGGGTAGAGTTGGTGGAAGATACGGTGTACCTAGTAGTGGAGCTGGAATGGCGTGCGAGAGGGGAGTTCGCGGGCGTAGACTTGAATCGCCCGGGGCGTGTACATGCGACGGGATCCTTACACCTGTCGAAAGAGGGATGACGGGCCTTTGGGATTGCTTTGGCTTCCGGGGATGACCCCGTGCGAATGTTCGAAGGGGCATGGCAAGTAACCTGGCGGGAGGGGTTTGAGTTTGCAGACCCAGAACGAGATGACATAACGACGGAGGTAAAAGTCGCTGCGGCGGGGGKTTTCGAGCTGCTTAGTGAGGTCGTACGGATAAGTCTACCACCCTTCCTGCTAAGACGAATGGGGGGCATAGAACGAGTGGAGCAGGCGGTGACTGTCGTAACTAGGCTAAATTTTGACGAAGCATTAATGTACCGAGAATACTATCAGACCTTTCTAGAGATGGGGTCTTTCGGGGACGAACAGGGCCGCGAAGTGCTTTGCATTCTACGAGCGGCAATAGATACTAGGCCGGGAGTCCCACAAATAAATGACGAGGCCTTGTGGGGAGTCATCCAGCGGGAGGTAGGCCGGGGCGCGACCTACATAGACGACTTGTACCGATTGTACGAACAGCCAGAAGAGGCCACTGCTCCCGGAGGTGTGGAGGAATAGTTGGAACCAGAAAAGAAAGTTGAAAAACACAAAGGGCAAGGGGGCAGTAGGTGGACGGTTTCTAAGGATTGGCTGTAACACTTTCTATGTGGATCATGCAGGAAATCACCAAGGTAACCATGGCAGCAAGACGTGAGCATATGGAACTTCAGGCCCGTGTGCGAATGGCGCGCCAATCCCGGTACCCCGGACCGCCGTGGAATAACGGTGGACGTTGGGAAGTATCCCTCCCGTCGAGTTCAACTTATCGGGGGTTCGATATAGAATGGCGGGCTATGACTTTGGGGAGGGACGCCGCCTTCATGTTGGTAGAATGCCGGTGGACAGGGATGAGACTCGACTGAGGACCCGGGGACGATCTGTTTTCCAATCTGGAAGTTACCGGGACCATGTATCTGCCTGAGATCGGCTAGCACTCGTTGGGGGTAGAGATAGCACAAGGTCACGAGATGGCACCGATTTTTCAAAGGGCCGCCCGGACGTTGACCCGGATAGGACAATCAGTCAGGGGTAGAAGGAACGTGGGCTTACTTACCCGGGTGGAAATGGGGGGATGGCGTGAATTCATAGCACCAACCACGCCGCTGAGGTGCCGGGTCCCCCGTTTTATGATAGATCTCGTCTTCGGGAGCCTCGCAAGGGCGCGAGAGCTGGCAGACTCGG